TTTTCTATTTTCGTGACCAAGACTCTGAGTAACGTTCGACTCTAGAACGCGTAACGCTGGATTTCTCTTGCGCTCTTTCTACTTTAAGGCCTTGTATCTGTGCGCGTTGGTTAATGGTGGTATCCGTCGTTTCGCTGACGGGTTGCACGTCTTCTGTGTGCGCGTTATTATCGTCCGTGTTCTCGCTCACACAAGGCAGACATTGCGTATCTTCGTGATTTGACATTTTCACTTCATTTCATTTTTTTTTCTAAATTTTATTTTCCCATGTACATTACAATTATTAATACATTATTACAAATTAACTATTTGGGCTAGAGACCTACTAGAAACCTTTGCAGGCTTTTGTTTCTAGGCCACTAGTCATGTCCTATTTAGATTATTTTATTATTTACAGTAATTTTTAATATAATATTAAATGCAGAAGAAAAGTTTTATAAGGTATATTATATACAAGATATTTACAAATTTGAGGTATGAATGGTAAATACTGTAGTGTTTACAATATTAAGATAAAGATATATACTAGTTAGATTATTATATGGTATTTTTTTGCACAATGACAATGAATGGACAGAAGATGTATATACTTCACTGAGTCAAATCCGGCTCGAAGGACCAATGTTATATCTCGATCGATATTGTAAATTCAAACGCGAGAAACGTGGGTTAACAGACAGCATGCTTGGCTACAAGTCTCGAGTGTCTCTTCAACCTGTTCGTATTTCACAACATTTAACTAAAACTATATAATGTAATATGCGGCGGTGCAAATGTTGACAAGTGAAACACAATTCGAGTTCGACCCCTTAGGGCTTGTCGCTCAAGCGTATCATAACTAAAATTAATAAAGAACTAAACGTCAGTCATACGGTGCGGGCGGAACATCGACGGCTCTTTTCCACTCATCGCAAAAACAGCTCGCAGCGAGTTTGCGAACACTTGCAGCGAAGTTAAATAATTTGAACAATATTTTCTGATCGCGCGAACAAAGAACGCTAGTAGGCAATGGAATTCGTCCAAAACATCATTTAAACATCATATTTATTATATTTATCATATTTATTTATCATTTTAACGTTTTACATAGTTGAGACGTCTTCTCCTAGGTCGTCTTAAATAAAGTAAGAGCAAAAGGCGCCGATTTAAAGCGGCCGCCATTTTGCTAAAACGTAAATTAGTCACGCGAGATGATGAAGTGTGGAAATTGACCTTGCGAGTCCTTTTGTTGGTAAAAACATTGAACTTTGTCATGAAAATAGACAATGCTTTACCTGCGACCGTTCATCCTTGGTTGCAACAAGCAACGCCGTTGAACGGCATATCACTAACAAAACTTTATTATCCAAGGACTCAGACTGCCAGTGAGACTGCTTATAAAAACATGGCAATTTCAAGTTTACAGCAGATGTTAGTTGGCGTAGAAATGCACTCGTTATCCACATTTCGTATCGTATCGTAAAAGTTTATTTCTGGACGCTAGCCTCATCAACATAAGTTGGTTTTCATGAGGAGCGTCGTCAATTTATATACCGAAGTATTAACTGATTTACAAGAGAATAAGTAGAAACAAAGAAAAACTATTTACAAAAGTGCATGCTGGATACAGGAGGTGTGACCCATACATTAACATTGGTAACAGAGTCAAACATTAATATTTTGTTTGAAAATATGGATTGATTGTGCTTCTTTTGCTTCCCGAGAAAGGCTATTCCAAAGATTTTACTGTATTGGGAATGTCATTGCGTTATATTAAGTTGCGTGTTTTGGCGAAATAGTACCGAGACGTTGGGTCGTGAATACAATTCGACTGACTTGTATTCATAATTCATTTATAAAACCAGAGTAGCCAGCGAAAACATGACCTGGTCTTCAACACTTAGACAACCAGATGTACATGTATTAGGGCCAAGACAACCAGGGGCCGGTTGTACGAAGCGCTATCAACCGGATAGTGATTTTTTCAACCTTTGTAAAATGCTTGAAAACTGTGAAACTGCGGCTATAGACGACACAAGAAGTATAACAAACATTTAAATTATAAATACTTAAATTTAATACGAGTTATACCAATCATCGACTGATTTAACAAAACTTGAAAAAATCGCTATCCTGTGGATAGCGCTATCCGGCCTTCGTACAACCAGCCCCAGATGTACAGGAATTAGGGACAAAACAAGATATAGAAGATACAAATAACATTCTTACATAAATAAAAAGATGCTTAATTGACATATATAAACGTACCTTTAAATTACGATCTTGCTTTGAATCCAAAGTTTAACTTTACTTTGTATTCACTCTATTCTTTGAAGAAAGACTTCAAAAACAGCACGTGCCTCAAAGTGTCATGGCAAATATCATGGATGGAAACTAATACAACCCGCACGATGTGTAGTCTGGAGGTGTTCGTTACCACAGCACGGCTGAGCCAGGTGTAGATTCTGTTGACAGACGCAAATGTACAAATTGCGTTATTCATGAGCAAGCTGATCTGATATTCTATATACCTCTCGAACCTCTAATATTAATATTTAAAAATGTAAATAGTTAAAGAGGCTGTCAAGTCCGTTCAGCTCATGCGTGTGTTTTGTTTACATTTCTTGTTTCAAACAATACATAATTTAATTAAAATTCCGATCTGTGGGCCCCAAGTTAGCTCATTACGCATTCAGAATATATCACGAAGGAAACATTGAACTACTAAAGCAAAAATTTAGCCCGGAAAACAACACATTTTAAATCGAAAACGCTTCTTAGAAGCACTTCCTACAGAGGTATGGACAAAATTTGATTGAAATTTGTACATATTTAGCTCCAAAATGACAAATTTAAGATTGAAAATAACTAATGTTAAGAAACACATGCAGTCAAAATCCCCCTCCCCCCTCCCCCCAAAGTTAAAAGGTCTAAGAAATAACTAGCCTAAGGTCTACACCAGCAGGTCTACACCGTAGGCTAAGAAATAACCGACTTCATGATCATCGAGAGCCTGCGTATTTTTCGGAGATTGACAGCAAATTTTGTCATTAAAATTAACGATAAGTTATTGCAAATAAGTGTTCTTTATTTAATAGTATAATGTTTTTGTCACTAAAGTATCCTTTCAGAATTAAATAAGTTCTATTATACAATTTTCTTTTAATCTTAAATATTTAATATATTCTTGAAGTGTACTACACTTTGTTATTTAAATTATACTATCGCCTGACTCTCGTTATTTTTTCACTTATTCAATAGAAATCGTTCATATTGTAAAATTTAATTCCAATAATATAAATGAAACATAAGTCCCAGTATGGTTCGTTTTCTTCGATATCTTGTTTCCACTTGTTGCCAAAAATTTTCATTTCGTTTCCTACTCCTTAGCGATATGCCCCTTCAAAATCACATCTTCGCTAATGCCTTCCATTTGTGTCGGATTTTCTCGGAGATACTCGACAAGTTCGTCGAAGGTCGTAAAGTTTCGTGGTCCGGAACCGCATACAGCAACGAAGTTTTCATCTCGGCGGTTGACGGAAATGTGTCGGAATTTGGGTTCAGCATTCGGGGTTCGTACGCTGATGTAGAATTCTCCGATATCAAATCCCGAGCGAACCAGGAATGTCCCTTCGTTATCGTTAGAGTCCAACAAGTCTTCAGCCTTGGAGCGGGAGATTGAACCGTGGAACCAAGGACAGGAATCGAGCTACGAGAATGAAAGCGCAAAATTCATTTACATGCAGTTGTAAAGAAAAACTTTATTTAAACCCGCTAGCCTCGAACAACTATATACATGCAGCTGATTTCCACGAGGAGTGTCACACAATTACAAAAATATCTAAAATAAGTAGAACTATTTACAAGTATATAAATTGAGAAAGAGGAAAACAAAACACAAGTCGGAAGAATAAAAGATATTAAAAACTTAATGCTATATGCAGCAACATGTGAATTATATATGCTTTATCTTCCTTTTAAAGGAACTTGTGGTTTTTGTTTGTTTAAGTTCTTGTGGAAGATCATTCCACAAGATGGCACCACTGTAGGTTTTGGAAGGGCTAAATCTGTTTCGCTATTTCAAACATTATAGGTATTGTGAAATCACTCATTTATCATACCGTATGAGACTTAAGTGTGCAAGTTAATTATGAAAATTTTTAGGCATCTTATCTAAGAACTCCTTCAAAATATTGAGAGAAAAAGATTGAATTGAGAAGGGTATTTGTTGATGGCATTTCCGAATAAAGATTTATTAATATATACAATTTTAGGAATAACCAAGCAGCAAGAGTCGATATACTACTGTCCTGCGATTCCGGTGCAGTGCTCTAACCAACTGAGCTACAGTCCAAATGAGTCCAGTTATGAAGCGCCTAATTCCTGCCAGAGGTCTGATTAGGGGTCTAACCTGATCAGAGGTCTGATTTGATTAGGTCTGAAATAAAAATCTTTGTTCGAAAATTCCATCTCTAACGCCCGTATTCTAAAAGCTCACTCACACTCAATGAGTGGAAGTTCAATATGAGCTTCTCTTGAGTGTCAATGCTGTTTTTGAATAGCTGGAGGGCGAGTAGTCATATAGCAAGGTATCACTAGCCCTCCAACTATTCAAAAACAGTACTGACACTCGAGAGAAGCTCATATTGAACTTCCACTCATTGAGTGTGAGTGAGCTTTTAGAATACGGGCGTAAGTTAACCATGGCCAGATAATGCTGACAAATAAGCGTTGGCTATAATAGCCTCCCATGCTCTCACCTGTTTCATATATTCCTGATCATGTTTCTTCAACGCCTGTTGTGGATTTTCCACCATAAACGCTCCATTTTCGAGATCACTCGGATTACCATTGTTTTCTTCGTAGATTTCCGAGAAAGTCTTGTTATTCACTCCTCTGGCTTCGGCGTTCTTCAATTCTCGGAGGTTAATGTCACGTGATAGTATGGCATCGGTGCTCTGGCTACGAGATAGCATTGCTCGGCCACCAATACTAAATTCTTTACCTCCACGTTGCCTGCGTTTCAAAGTCATCGAGTTTAGAAACATGTCTTCATTACAATCCATATGTGTAATCAAACTTGTCAATCATTTGGCTGATTAGGTACAGGCAAAATCGACGGTTCATTAATCGATTCAATATTTTATTAATCACAATTAATAGTCGCGCTGATTGCCATTTTGCTCGCATACCGACATGTGTAATCAATGTGGTTAATCATTTTGCTCAATAAGAACAGGCGGAATAAACGGTTAATGGACCTTTCCCCTTATAACTAAAATTTTGATCTAGACAAGTCTAGACAAAAATTTCATCACAGCTTGAAAGAGCATCACAAAATTAGTAATATTCCAAAGTTTCGTTGCGAAATGTTGTAAAATGCGGATAATATAG